TCTATAAGTGCCTCTTCAGACTCACACAACACATGCAATGTTGCTGAGTGTAGAAAGACCACAGGTGGAAAGTCTTGTGGATCCAGTGGCAGTGGAAGCATATCAGTGCTGGCATGGGTCTCCACGTGGCTCCTTCAGCTCCAGGGATCTGGTTTCATCAGGGAAGCTCCATGTGGCTTGTCAGCAGGAAGAAGAAGCAGAGAGAGTGTGTGTGTCCCACCTCCAGGGAGGAAAACAGGAGTTCCCAGAAAATTCAGGAGAAGGCCATGCCCACACAGAGGCATTATTGCCTATGGCCTGATTGACAGGCTAATCTCCACCCCTTCACAAGTTGACAGGAGATTATGTAACTGCCACAATAGATAAATGTGTATGTGTATTTGGGTCATAAGAGTAAATGTGTTCATTAACAAAAAAGGACTACAGTATAAAAACATATATACATATATTTACAACAAAGACAAGGAATATTGAAGTATTTATTAAGGATTACTGTTTGATATGATCAAGGTTATTGCTTATTTGCAAGTAAAAGTAGGTTAACTCATTTAAAAATCTTTAAAATGCCAATATTGAACAGCACAGAATTAACTTTCTCACTATTAAAATATCAAAAATTTCCTTGGTTATTGGGTTAAAAAGCTAATATTTATTCTTGTGTACTCTGTCTTGACAGCAGGATTTTTACAGAATAAATTCCTGGGCATGATAAACTCCTCTTAACTATTTGAAGCTTCATAGAATGTCAAAAGACATTTTTATATTTATTTTTTAAATGTTACAAGGTTTTTATTGGCACAATGGATGAGTTGGCCTGTATTCCACAAGGTCACCAGTTTGAAACCACCAGCCACTCCAAGGGAGAAAGATGGATTTTCTACTCCCATGAACAGTGGCCGTCTCGGAAACTCATAGGGCCAGTTCTACCCTTGTCCTCTAGGGTCGCTGTGAGTTGACACCGACTCAATGGCAGTGAGTTTGGTTTTTGGTTTAAGAGGTTTTTGTATTTAACAAAAGAGGTGTCTGATTCTCTTTCGGATTAAAAAATTATGTTGGTGTTATCTCTTAATATTATATTTTGTCTAATAATGGACAGCAGGTATGTCATACTATGTCATAATATTATTAATTTTAATTTCTAGGTACTAAACATACACACAACTTTGTTTCTTTTAAATCTGACTGCATAAAATCCAGGAGGTTTAACTAAGAGAGTTACTCTACACACTCATTCACTTTAATTACGATGTTTAAAACTTGATGATATATAGAATATTGTTTCAAGATTATTATATGGTATAACTAAAGGTTTTTAAATAAGGTTAATCATTTATATTTAGGGATATCACTGTCACAAGTATTTGAAATGACTCTATTTGGCTTTACATTACTTTTATAATTAATTTGTATTAAGTTTGTGCTTTTAAAAGGTCTTATTATTGATTGGGAGTTAATACATATATCATTCCGTAGTTCACTCACGTCAAACAGTAGTGCACAATTGCTACCACAATCAGTTTCCAAACATTATTCTATTTCCTGGACTCCTTGACATTGTCTCCGTTTTACCACCACTGCCCTCCCCCACCCTTATTCTACTTACTGTCCATATAGGTTCATCAATCCGAAAAACAGAAAAACATATGACAAACCTTCAAGAGGGTGACCCCAATGACATAACACCTCTGAGATAAACAAACAAAAATACAGAAAATGCTGAAAACCAAATCAGGTCCAGCGTGCATCCAAGAGGGGATCAGCTGACACAATTTTACTGATTCAGGTCAGGTTTAGGCCTTTGGTGGTCTATACTCCTCTCTCCAGTGCACTCTGTTTAGTGACCACTTTCCTCCCAGCCCTCAATTACGGACAGAGGGAGATCACGGGACGCTTATTTCCTGTGTAGTCCCTACAAATGTGCCTTGGCTCCCACTTATGACCCTATGAAACTTTTTCATGGACAGTTTTACATAGGGGTGGGCGTTGGTCATGTGTAGGGTCCCGGCAGAAAGTCCAAGCAGCTGCCTCCAGTAGCACAGTAAGCAGCTAGGAGCAGCCCACCTGGATGAAACCAACGGGCTAGAAAGAAAGGGGTATGCTAGGCAGGACCAGAAACAGCAAGGAGCTGAGAAAAACACAGCAACGTGTGGGATAGTGAGTTCTCCTGAAGCCCCTTACTAGCAACCTGGGAACTTAGGGCTCACAATGATAAAGAAGAACCAATAATAGATAAGAAACAAACGGCAGCTCATGCAATCTTAGAAGAAACTGAAGGCAGAGCAGTATCCCTGCCCTTTGGGGACCATCCAGGGGTGGGGTCTCTGGTGGAAGAATTCCCATTGCATCCCTCCTCAAGTTGTGTGTGCTCAGGACTAGCTTGCCTTCACCTGAGGGGGACATCCATGAACATTAGACTTGCGCTCACCTGGCCAGTGGTCAGAGGTAAAGTCACATATGAGGTTGATAGCCCACGCCAAGATCCAGGGACAAGATCACATAAGTAGAAACAAAGTCACTGAGCCTTTATATCACTTTTTATTATATATGCGGTCATGGTACTGAGGATTTATAACTAGACTTACTGTTTTGTGCCATGTTCTTGGATGTTGCCCTGTCTGGCTGGTTTTGAAATGATAGGCTAAGGTTCTTTAAACCATTCACCTAACATAACCCCAAACCAAATTTGCTGCCATGGGGCTGATGCCAACTCAGAGCCCCCATTGGACCTGGTAGAATTGCTCCTGTGAGTTTCCAAGACTGTAAGTAACTCTTTACAGAAGAGTTCTCCCAAGTGGTTGCTGGTGGTTTTGAACTGCGGACTTCGCTGTTAGCAGCCCAGTGCGTAACCACTGTACCACCAGAGCTCCTTTCCCCTCACAAACCATAGCAAAACCAGACTAGCTGCCATTGAGACAATTCTGACTCCGAGCACCCCTATACTGGAGCAACTGCTTCTCCAGAGTCTTTGTTTTCTCAGCACAGACTCAGAGTTAGCACATTGCCACCATAGAAGAAACATTGCCAATACTTAGGCAGAGAGACTGCCATTGAAGTTGAGCCCATAGCTACATGACAGGTTACATAGCAGTCATGATACCCAGCTATCAGAAGGATAGTGCTGGGGGTCTTAAAGGTTTGTCCTAGAAGAAGGGACCATCTAAAGGACCAGTCTGTGCATGAAAAGAACATCCACCTACGTGTGATCAAAAGGATTTTAAATGAAATCTATAATCAAGAGGAGAGTGTGGGGCATCTAAATCTAGAGGCACATTGTATGTGTGAGTGGAAAAGTCTAAAAGTGGAGCTGTAACTCCATTTTAAATCCCTGGCATGAGTCTGAAATCTACATTGAATGTTAAGGTGTGCTTCTTGTGATAGCTGTTCTCTGGATTGACCTCCACCTGGAAGATGGCCAGACCAAAAAAATAGAAAAAGGTGATTTACCAAAAAAAGGGTGAAGCAGGGGAGGGAGGGGAAAAATGAGGACCTAATGCCAGGGGTTTAAGTGGAGAGAAAATGTTTTGAGAATGATGAGGGCAATGAATGTACAGATATGCGCTTTACACAATTGATGTGTGTATGGATTGTGATAAGAGTTGTATGAGCCCCTAATAAAATGATTTTAAAAAAATAAAGAAAAATACCAAAAGACAAAAAAAGGGGGTGAAGCACCTGATGTCATTCAGTTAATGATAGCATTTATAGTTTAAAGCGGATGTGGGGTGTGTGGATGGAGGGGAATGATACCCAGAGTTCTGTAGCGGGGGTGGGGGGGCATACACACACACACACACACACACACACACACACACACACACACACTTATGCTAGTCTTCAAAAGAATTTCCCAAAGTGCCCCCAACGAGATGAGAGAAAGAACTGAAACTTTTAAGAAACAGCTGGCGGTGAAGACTTTCTCCTGACACCAGGGAGGGACCCCAGTGATCCTGAGAAGCAGTGTTTTGTACACCGTTTGTTTACACGTGCAGTGCAGATAGTTTGTGACACCTCCAACCCCCCAAAATTAATTCTTTTGTTTGAGAAGAAATGTGTGAGACCTCGAGCTGTCGTACCATCCTGATGATTTGGTGGCTGACTCGTTGAAGCTCTTCCTCGCCACACTATTTTCCAACACCTAAAAAAAATTCATGTTGAAATCCCCAGTTTATCCCAGTCAAAAATGGTCTCTGTTGTCCTTTTCCTGGGCATTTTTATATGTTGTAGCCCAGGGCTCCTTCGATTTGCTTGCATTTTGCTACTTCCAATCAAAGTAGCCCATTGGCTTCCTCTTGGTGGAAATTCAGAGAATTTCCAGGTTAAATATACTGATCTCCAGTAATGTGACAGTCTTCAAGCCCGTTAACAAAGGTCCAAAGTCTCGAATGAGGGGTGTGAGTGCCGATAGTCTGTTACTATATATATATACTTCTGACTTATGTTTCAGAAGAAACGTCACTGAGCAGAAGTGCCACCACTGCCAGCCATGTTTAGGCTGGATCACTTTTGCTTAGTGTCTTGGACAGAACCTATGTGCACGCTTGCGCTGCTTCTCTGCCCTGCGAGTTTTATCCGTGTTTCCTAAAGGGGCAATTCTTCCCTCCTGGGTGCTGGAACAATATACCAAAACCAAACAAACAAATAAGCCAAATTCATTGTCATCTAGTGAGTTTGTCTGCCTGTAGGACAGGGTAGAGCTGCCCCTGTGGGTTTCAGTAGAAAGCCTCACTCTTCTCCTGAAGGAGTGGCTGGTGGTTTTGAACTGTGGAACCTGCAGATCGCAGCCCAATGCAAAACCACTGTGCCAGCTAGTGGGGAAGTAAAAGCACTTTATCCTGGATTATGGGCTAGATACAAAAGTTTTTAATCTCCACGAGTCACTGAGTGACATTTTTATTTTTATTTTTTTGAAAAGGGGGTGGTAGGCCAAAGAAGGTAGGAAACCTATCGTCCAAATCTGGTTCGAGGTCAGCTGGTAGTCTCAGAAAGTCTGAGCAGACATGGCCATCCAGAAAGGCGATTTCCGCGTGACTAATGGTCACACGCTTTCTGTGTGTTCACCATGTGCCGTGACACTCTTGTGACCTGTATTGCCCCTAAAAACCGCAGCCCACCCACGTGAAGCACATCCTTCGCAATGTTAGCTAAATGGAATCAACGTTGCTTGTAAACTGAAATTAGCTGAGCTCCCGCAAAAGGGCCTTTGCTGCCGTTGGATGCTGCCTTATAAAGGCCTGGCTCCCTGTTGAATAGCTTTTCCCGGTTTCTGCTCCACTTGGCAGGGCTACTCACGGGGCTTAACCGCTCCAGGGCGGACCTGTTCTTTGGAGCAACTAGCAGCAGGGCCCAGGGGGTTAGGGTATAGATGCAGGAGGCCCAGCCTTGTCCCTTGGCAAGTGTCTTGTGTGTTCAGAACTTCCCTTGCCCAGACACTAGGACAGCTTCCAGGAAATACTCAGGAGTCTTTGCTGATCCTTAGCCATGCTGTAGGATAGGGTGGAACTGCCCCCGGGAGTTTCCGAGACGGTCACTGTGTATGGGAGTTGAAAGGCCCCTCCTTCTGCGGGACAGCTGGTGGGTGCCAACCTTGTAAGCTGCAGTTAGCAGAGCAGTCGATGCGTAACCTGCACGTCCTTAGAGCTCCTGCTCAGCTGAAAGAGCTGGCCAGGTGTCACGTTTTTGTGATGGAAGTGTCGTCCGTCCTTGGTGTGAGCTGCAGAACTCTGTTTGTGCTGAGCTCTGTGAGTGTCGTGAACTCGTCCCCATGTTGCATGCGCTTTGTGGTGGAGGGAGCATCTAAGGCAGCGGCCGTGCTGCCTGCAGCAAGCAGTCACCGAGGGCAGGTCCTTTCCTGAAGGATAATAATAAACCAGGGCCGCCTCTCAAGGCAGCAAACTTCAGCTTTCAGCCAACCTTGTCCCTTCCAGTCCATGTCACTTTTCTTTCTTTTTTACATTCCAGTCCGCTCGGAAACCCTTCTGAGCAGCCTGCACCCTGAACATGCCAAGGCCCAGACAGGGGGCGTGCTTGGCCCCGTGTGCCGTTAGCCTGTTTGGAGAGCGGCTCCGTTTGCTGATGTGGCTTCCACTGATGGAGAGCCAAAGGTCAGCAGTCTCTTCAACTTGTGGCAGGCTTGGCAGTGGCTAAGAGATTGAGAAATCAGGAGCACTTTTAAGTGAGCGTTCCTGGTCGCACCTGCCTGGGTCACCTTTTTTGTCAACCCTATATGGTGAAGTTGTCGAAAAGGAGACTGATTCTAATATGATGAGAAATGTAGAGGGGAGAGGAGAGGTGAATAAACGCTTTGTGCTCCTGGAGTTTGTGAGGCACTCTCTACGGAGAGCTTAGTTTGCTTATATTCATTGATACTGCATTTTTATATATTAATTCTTTCGAAGTTATGACAGTCACTTGAACCAGATGTGAATTGTGATCTCTCCAGACCTGGTTGAGAAATGCCCTATTTCTTCATCCTGTGCCATTCTCAGGTATGCCTGATCCTGATTCACCTGGAACTCCCTAAGAATGTGGGTTTGAGCAGGAGCCATGACGGCCCTGTTGGATAAGCACTTGACTGCTAACCTCAAGGTCAGCAGTTCAAACCCATAAACCCTTCCATGGGAGAAGGATGAAACTGAAAATAGAGATTTTCGGGCCTCATCCCTCAACGTACTACTTCAGGGTTGAGGGTCCTGCTTCTGTACTTCGTTTTTCTTCAAATTTTTATTTTGATAGAAATGTTGAAATATGTATCTTCACCTAAGAAGAGTCATCAATTGTTAAATATTTGCCACATTTGTTTTTATAATGATAGATAGATAGATGATAGATGTGTAACCACTTTTCCCTAACACACTTAAAATCTGTTCTAGTAAGCGTTCATTCCAATTCCTTAACAGTTGAGAATCCTCAGACTTAATAACTCGAACAGACATTTGGTTAGAAAGAGCTTAAAGCCAGAATAGATGTATTACTGTCAACTGGTTCTGTTTATTGTGAAACAATGTTACACGTAGAAAAAGGCATAATCAATAACACATGTAATGTTTACAGATTTAAAATAACCAGTCACATGTCCTTCTACTGAAGAGCCAGAACACTAGTGAGATCTTAGAGCCTTTTTTAGATCACTCCTAAACACTTGGCCCCTGGCCCCACCCCAATATTAACCATTGCCCCCAATTGTGTATTATTAATTTCCTGGCTAGATTTTCTGCCTTATCTCCATATGTGTATTGGGGGAAAATGTGTAGTTCTTATGCTCTCGAACATTCAAAAATGGAAACATACTGTAGGTATTTTCTTGACATCACTTTTTGCTCAGTATTCTATTTCTGAGAGTCATCCTTGTTGATGCCTGTGGCTGTGGGTGCCCCCCCCCACCCCCGCTACTACACTGCTCTGCTGTACGAAGGTCCACAATGCGTTTATCCAGTCTACAACGGGGTATTTTCAGTCAGAAATGGCTGGACAGAAGTCGGCAGTGTACACCATCAATGGAACTGGGTATGTTCTCAGTTTCATTGATTGTGAACAGTGGTGTCAAGAACATTTTTATACACCTCCTCTCTATAACTGTATACAACTTTCTCCAGGGTGCATGCTTAGGAGTGTCCAGAATTTAAAGTTCTAGAAAAGCGTAGTTATTTTTTGTAAACACCACAGATTCTTCTAATGGAAGGTGTAGGACTAAATCCTTAAATGCTTTGGCAGGCCCTGAATTGGGTCTGGCATTTTGGTATGCTTCGGCATACTTTCATGCTCACCCAGACACGAAGGACAGGGACCAGATGGGCCCACACGCGCCCTCCCTCCTTACCCACGCTGACACCCACTGTACCTCCCACAGCACTGCGCTTCCCTGCTGGGTTCTGTGATTCTTTGCAGTGGCCACACAGGACTCACAGACAATATCCACAATGATGGGGGTCGATTCGGGAAGTTTAGAGGTTCCCACAGTCAGGATCAGTAAATAATGAGGATGTAGAGCCATTGGTTCACAGCAACATCTCTCTTCAACCAGCAATCAAATCTGCCTCTGGTGCTCAGCCTCTCAGCCTGGGTCCCTTGGCTTGTGGCTACCTGGACCAGGAAGCCCACCTGACACTGTGTCACAGTCCCCAAACCTCTGTGCTGCTCCTCTTGCTCTGCCCCAGAGTCCCATACAAGGTCCAGCACTCTCCACACATCCTGTCACGGTGTGCCCGCATGACTTCACCTCCGTCTCCACCTCTTAGCTCGGCTCTCTGCTCCAAGCCCGTGTGGGTCAGCTTCCCGGTGGACGTTTCATGCTCGTTCCTGTCTCACACTCTGCACTGGGCCCTGTCTTCCTGGAACTCTTCTCAGGCTTTAGCGCGGCGCCTTCTTTCGTCGTTCAAACAGCAGCAAGGCACCTCCTCGGAGGGGCTTTCCCTGCCCGCCTGCCCCCAGCAGTCCTTGCCCCCCTTTAAACCTTCTGCTTTGTTTTCTATATAACTCTGCATGGAAATGTAACTTGATAAACGGGTTCACATGTTTTAACGTCTTGCCTTTGAGAATGTAACCTCCAGCTGGACGGAGGCCTTTGGTATCTGGTCCGTTGCTGTGTTTTCATATCTGTAGCTAGTAACCCAGCCAAACCCACTGCCATCAAGTGGATTCCAACGGACACAAGATGAGAGATCTTGACGGGAGCAGCTTCATTTCCTCCCTGAGAGTAGCCGGTAGGTGTAAACCCACTGACCTTGGAATTAGAAGCCCAATGTGCAGCCCACAGCATTCGCAGGGCCTCTTCCCATCTAGAATAGTGTCTGGGCTCATCAGCTCCCCATGTGCATTTCTGGGTGTACTGAAGGAATGAGTGAAAGGTGCTTGAGAAACATATGGTACGTGTTAACATGACAGAGCGTGTGCATCTACTAATGTCGCTGAAGTCACGCACGTGTTTTCTTTTTCAGGATAAATAAGAACGCCTCAGAATGTCAGGTAAGCCCTTTGTTTTAAGTCATGTGGCTCGTGTGATGACTTGCCTCATGAAGCGATGAGTGTGTGCTTATTTTGAAGCTGTTTCTGCTGTCGTGTGGAGGGCACGGGAGCAGCAGTCTGCTCTCTGTGTGTAGGGTCCCTGTGGGTCAGAACTGGCTTCAGGCGTGGCATCTAAGAACAACAGAGACGCACGGGGAACAGCACTGGTAGCTCGGAGAAGAGGGCCCGCTTGGAAGCGAAGAGAGAAAACCCAGAAGCCGTCATTTATGCATGTGGCCATGCTGCCTGGCGAACTGAGTTACGTAAAAGGGATTCTAGTGACTCATATTTAAAGGCTGTTTGAAGCACTAGTAAAGGCCTGAAGAACAGGCCTAAAGAGAAAACGGAATAAAGTAATTGCCCCAAAAGCCTGCCTGAATCAAAGAGGGCTGGAGAGGGGGCCTTGGGTGTTCTAGCAACTGTGTCCAGGAGGAAAAACAAAACAAAACACGTTTATGGGGCTTGGTTTTCTGTTAGATCAAAGTCAGCCGGTTCTTTCAAAGATGACAAATGATTCCTAATATTGAGCAGAGGAGGCACGTCTCCAATCTCAGTGAGAAGTCTGGGTGGGATATTCTGGAAAGCGACCCCAGTAGCTCCCTTGCCATCGTCACAGTGACCCAGGTTGTTTGTGGGAAGAATAAGGCAAATGTCGTCCAGTGGTGACGCCAATGAGATCCCGTCTCGCTGCTTCTTAAGCCATGAAGCGTTCATAGTGTTATAACCTGGGTTTATTTAGACACGGCCACTTTCCAAAAAGGTTATGAGAGAAGAATCAGATTTACTCTTATCTTTGCTGGTGTTTGACACATTATATAATAACATTATTTTATATAAATTATACAAAAAGACTTCCTGCAATTTAGGAAGAGATTTATTTATGAAAGAAAGGGTCAGCTGAACCACTAGTATGACAGCTCACTTTGATCACAAGCGCAAGATAGCTGCTCAATTTTCTTTTACTAGAAAGGAAACATCGCTGTGTTAGTCAAGTGGCAGGGGTCTGCCTTTCAGATTGAGTGCTATTGAGCATTGTCCTATGCGCAGCCCGCAGTGTTTGTGTAAATAGTGTCCATGCACTCAGCTTTTTAATCCGTTCAAGTCAACAGTCTAAGTGCCGAACTCACTGCCATCGAGTCGGTGCTGACGCAAGCTACCTGTCGGTGGGTTTCCAAGCCTGTAACTGCGTACTGGTAGATAGCCCAGTCTTTCTCCCGAGGAGCTGCTGGGGTTTTTGAACTGTCCACCTTGCAGAGCGCAGCCCAACCTGTAATCACTGCACCACCGGGGCTCCTATTTAGGGATGATTTGTAATGTTCTCCAATAAAGCGATAATGATTTCTCTACAGGGGCCCAGGGGCATATGTAAACCATAGATATATGAATGGATTTTGAGCTCACATTTTATCGAGGCCCTAATATGAGAACAATTAGTTCTGATGATGTGGCCCTACTCTATACTTGCCCTCAGGAAGAGGTCACTGAAGATATGGGTAATATAGAAAAGAGTGGTGAATAAATCATATACTGCCCAAATATCATAAAGAATAATGCATGGAGTCTTAAAGGTTTGCCTTAAAAGAAGCAATCATCTAGTGAGGTATCAGCTAAGTCCACACAGAAGAAGTCCACCTGGTGGAACAGAAAAAAGTCTGATCTGGGTCATGAGTGGGATAAATACTATGATGCAAGGATTGTAGATAATAAAATCCAAACTGAAGGAGGGAACATTATCAGAGCTTAAATTGTGAACACCTGGTTTGCAGAAGGCTATGGATGACAGTGGAGACCTGAAATCCATTTTCAATGCCCCTGTATTACCGGTATTAAGTCAACGGTGAATTCCCTCTGACCATAGCCCAGTGAAGGGAATAGCCTTGCTGTCAGACAACGCATTGCAGATTATATGATTGCAGATGTGCAGCTAAGTTAAATTGTGACACCTTATCCTTTAACCTTCCTTTTGGCCCATTTTAAATTTGTTCATTTACAATATTTTTTGCTTTCTTTAAACACAAGGTTTTCTCTGTTTTGTTTTATCTTTTATTTTTTGTATGTTTTTTTAATTGTGTGTATGAAATCCATAGTAGGTAAATCTATATATAGAGAAACTGGATTAATGGTTTCTTGGGGGTATGGTCAGGGAGGCTGGTGGGAAATGAAGAGCTAATAACAAGTATAAGAAAGAAGAAACTTTTCTAAAATTGATTATGGTGATGATTGCACAATCCTTGAGAATTGATTTGTATGATATGTAAACTTTATGTTAATAAAAATATTTTAAGTCTTTTTAAAAAAAACCACCAAAGCTACCAAATGCATAAATAAATTATGCATAATGTCTATAAAGTGTATCATTTTATAAGAAATAAAAGAGTTTACTTCTGTTATTTATATCATAAATGAAGAAATACACTTTCTTGATAAATCATGTCTTCTCTTCCCCAACAAGGTGTTGTGCCAACAGCTCCTGAACACCCAGCCGGTGACATGGAGAATCAACACAAATCTCCAGATCCAAGACCTGCCGCCCCTCCAGACTACATGTCCCATTATGCTCCAGGTCGGTGAACAGTCCGCCTCCTCCCATTCCAAGAAGGGAATGCTTGAGAGCAGCAACTAGGGGATACTAATTTGGTATCAGTTTATTGGGTGTCAGTTAGAAGAGATGTGTGACATCAAAGGAGACACAAGCTATCGAAGAAGAAAATTGTGAGATCCTTGGGCGACAACTGACTTTGCCAGGAATTTCAGGAATGCTTTAACTGAGAAAGTCCGTTTTACGGGCATGAGATGGAGCTTCCCAATCAAAGAAGAGGAGAACTGGACCGTGCCTGCAGACAGAGTAGCGTGTCCAGCAGTGCAGGGTCACGACGGGCCTGCTTGGGTTATGAGTGGGATAAATGGTAGGAGACATGCAGAGAGGGAGACGTGAGGGTACTGAGTGCGAAGTATGGATCAAATAAGTACTCTTGCCTGATAGAGACTCAGAACAAAATTGCATGCTTTAGTAGAATTGGGGACTATTTCTATATTTTTTAGAAAGCCTTTGGCAACATGTGAAATAAAATTAAAAGTACACTTTTGACCACGAAAGTAATTTTAATCAGCCTTTTGTTTAAACACATATTTCTTGTTATAAAAATTCCTAGAATACCATGTATTTACTAATTGAACGTTTTCTAATCTATTTTAATGGCTTTGGGATTGATGACAAGGTACAGTGACTATTCTTTACTTATTTTATCTCAATGTATTTTTCAAGGTGTATGAAGATTTTTTTAGGGCTGGGTTCTAAAAGGATGAGAATCAACCCCCGCATGTACAGGGTGATGACAGGCATTGCTTCGGGTCCAGGTGCCTCACGTGTCTTCTCTCCCTCGGGACGTCCTCTCCATGTTCCCCTCGTGTGTCTGCATGCTACTCAGTGCTCAGCCTATGGTGCCTCCAGGGGTCCCGTGCTGTGTGGCTGTAATCCAGGTCATTCCCTGAGCTCAAAATATCTTGACAAACCTGAAGTATAACCCAGTGATGTATGCCCATCATTGTAAATTGTCCTTCAGAAACATTCAGCCTAATTTACACTACATGCACTAGTGACTCTCCATTCCAGGGCCTGAACTCAATGAGGATTAGAATAAAAACTCCACCATTATTTGCTTTTGTTTTTAAAGTTATTGATGTTTTTATTTCTTTTTATTTTTTAAAATCATGTTATTGGGGGCTCGTACAACTCATCACAATCCATGACCTATATCCATTGTGTCAAGCACTTTTGTACATTTGCTTCCCTCATCATTCTCAAAACATTTGCTTTCTACTTGAACCCTTGGTATCAACTCATTTTCCTCTCCTTCTCCCCTCCCCCATGAACCCTTGATAATTTGTAAATTATTTTGTCATATCTTAGACCATCCGACGTCTCCTTTCACCCTCTTCTCCAGAGGTTATATGTAGATCCTTATAATCTGTTCCCCTTTTCTCCCTCACCTTCCCTCCACCCTCCCAGTGTCGCCTCTCACTGCTGGTCCTGAGAGTTCATCTGTCCTGGGTTTCCTGTTGCCAGTTCCTATCTGTGCAAGAAAACATTTGTTAAAACTTGGTTCTGCTCTTTGAAGAAATATCTACTTAAGCCTCGATGCCAAAAAATTAACACCACGCCAGAATAAGAAACATTTTCAAGTGAACCAACTAGATACACTGTCCAATTTTGTAGTGCATAGTATACAGTTAATGATTTTTGAGTTATGAAATGAGTAATAAAAATTCACTGAGATCGCCACCTAGTGGCTAGCCTATAAACTTACAAATGGTAAATAGCTGTAATTCATATGAAAGAATGGCTGTATTTCATATATTTGGCCTTAGTTAATTGTTCTAAATTCAGTGTAGAACTCTCATATGCATTGAAGTGTTAGATATATGTTCCAGCATAAAATAATCCCCAAAAATGCATTTAGAAGAAAATGTTAATATTTGTAGCCGATTTAGAGCAAAAATGTTAAAATGTTGTAAAATGAAAGCGATAAGATTATTCAGAACATGTCCCTGACTTTAGATGTGGTAGGACGGTGTTTCCCAGGGAGATTTTACTAAAATAGGAGTGGGATAATGTAGAAAAATCAAGTTAAAGCACGCCTGTTGTCCTGCAGAGCCAGTCAACCCTAAGTGGCCGTGTCAGAGCCCACAGCAGAATTTAATGTGCCCATTTTCCACATGTAATTTACCATGCTTTTCCCCTACACGTCTGCTGACATCTCTGGATAATACATACTAAGAGCAAGTTATTTATTTGCATATATTTTTTCTTAGAAATATAATCTCTATGCTGAAAAGCCCCCTTAGTCTAAACTGTACTGTTCTGTCTGGTGTATGAAGCCTCATATTTTATTACATGAGGTTCGCATATGTTCCTAGCCCCCAGTTAACTACCACAAACTAAGCACTCACTGACAGGATACAGCCATTGGCATGCTTTCCAAGCTAATTATCTGACTTTTAATTACATTGTTTCTCATCTTGGTTTGAAAAAGAGAATGTATATCTGATTTCCAGTGCAGTTTGTGTACTTGTAAATACAATTCTGAAAGAAATTAATGTATATTCTTCTCAACTAATAAAATGCATGTTTTCTTCCACTTTTTTCCCTAAAGATAGTAAATGATTTTTCACTGCCTAGCTCCAGTGGGACATTCCTCTAGTTACCAATATGTTTCTTTTGGTCTCTGTGCTCACTCGGGATCTCTTTCTTGGGCTCTGTGCCCTTCACCCTTACAAGCTGGCATTCCTCTGAAGTCTCTGGTCTTTCCCGGTCTTGCCTTACTCTGTCACTTCCCCTCGACTCTTTCATCTTCTTGTCCCCTTTTAACTCCGCCTCAGTCTTCTCACCAGCACCATGGCTCCATGGCCACTAACCACGAATCCAGCATCCCCAACGTCTGCTCTCCCTTCCCATGCTCCAAACTCATAGTTCCAACTCCGTACAGATTGGGTGAGCTCAGATGAAACCCTCACATGTAGTGATCCTGAATCCAACGTCGTCTTCTTTTTCCCAAGCTCACAGTTTCTATGTTTTCTCCATTCTGGAGGACAATAAGGCCCCACTTCAGAACTGGAGAATCTCTCTCTATACCCAGTCTGTCCACAGCACAATGCTGTCTTGGATAAGATGACCACCCCTCCCCTTTCCCTTCTCTTCACCCCTGTGGGCACCTCCTGCCTAACCTCAGCTTCTCACTCTTTAAGGTTATCGGGATAAAGCTGAATGTTCTGCTTTTCATCTGTGCGCTGTGTGCACAGAGGGCAAGCCCTTTCCCAATCTGCAGCCCATCTCCACCGTCCTTTCGGGCCTTGTCTGCTAGCCCCACGCCTAGCCTTCCCTCTTGCAGGGCTGAGCCCCCGGCGTGCATCTGCCTCTTCTTCTGGGAGGGAAAGTCCCATCAGGGAGTTTTTGACAATTTTGAATGTGACCTTGACAACACCACAAGCCTCTCTAGTGCAGAAACACTTCCAAAGCGGGTACCTGCGGGAGGCAGGAACCCAATAGAAAAGGAAAATGCAAATATGGCCCATTAAAATATTTCCGGTAGGAACATGGTAAGACTGTACCCTGTCAGAGGCGGAAACCTCCAGGCCTGGGAAAACAAAAGTCTAGGGAGCTCACCCCGCCCAGTTTTGCTGCACTTTATCTCCAGCCCTTTCACACACCATTGGTCCACCTGAGATCATACCAATTCTTTTCTTCATGGTTACGATAGCTTTAAAAGAAATTAATCTGTGTATCCCCCATACTGACGGATACCCAAGGACAGGCATGTGTCTGTACTTTTTTTTCTGTCTCTAAAAGCAAGCCCAGCAACTGACCCTTGAAAAGAGCCTGAGGAATGCTTACTACAAAAAGCCATATGGAATGTTGGATGGCTATGGCCTGTTTGTAGATAAGGAGGTGCGGTGGGTTTCACATTGGGCTGCAAAGCTCAAAATCAGTCATTGGAAACCAAGGGACAAACGAATAAGCCTTTCTGCACCCCTAAAGATAGATGTATAGCTTTGGAAACCCCAGGGGGCAATTCTGCTATGTCCAATCCTGTCATTATGAATTAGAATTAACCCGAAGACAGTGAGTTTGGTTTGGTTTCATATTGTATTAGACTTCTTCATTTCACACTTCATGACTTCATGGGTGGGAGTTATTGATGAGTAGCTGAAAGGTGCCATTCTTCCACCAACTTCCGAGACCACTCATCCCTTTACTCCTCAAATCACAAGAATCTGAGCTTTGGTCCAGATTGTCCATCAGCATTCTTGTCCTTGCTCCAGTTTTCAACATTGCAAACTTCTGGGACTTCCAGAGAACGCCTCAATGTCTCTCAGAACCTCTTGATTTCTTAGCATAAGCTAATGCAAACCATTGTTCTGACCCAATGTTGGTCACCAGATACAGCCCTGAGGTCAGCTGTCTGCCAAGTGTGCTGCTCTTTTCCTGTTCTGACCTGTGGAAGGGTGCAGAACTTAAAAGCCTGAAGCTAGCAAGTAGCTGGAATGATTCTTTGCATCCCCGTAGAACTTCTTTGGGGGAACTTGCCTTCCTAGTGTGTGGTCTAGGTAGAAGTATGGAAATAGTTTCATTAAGAGTGTCTGCAGTCAGAATGTGGGAGTTCAAATTCTGGCTCTGTCACATACTGGCTCGTCACTTTCAACAAGTTATTTAATCAATCTGTGCCTCGTTTCCTTTCTCTGAATATCAATATTAATAGAATGTTTACCATACGTTTCACACAGGGCTCATGTAACAGTGACACGGTGATTATTTGTAAAACACATAGAACAGTGCATTGAACATAATAAAAAAGACTCATTGTTAGCTTTTTGTTTTTGTCATAGTTCTTTCCAGATCTCCTTGGTATCCAGAAAAATTGGACGTTGTTAGAAGATTAAGTTTGACCTTACCACTTCTCTCAAGTTTTCGGTGCGTTTTGCATGGATGACCTTGTCAAATAACACGGACAACAAGAAGGTCCACACGTTTTAAGAGATAGGAGTCTATAATCTACAAAACTCAGT